TTAAGCAATTTCGAGAGTTAAATTGATGTAAAAATACAATAGGACGAAAGTGATAAATTAGGTCTACTACAGTGGTAAAGGTTTTCCTTTTGCCTTAAAATTTATTAACAATGTATACATATCTTGTCTACTATACCGATCATGATAGACGTTTATCTTGAGGTTTAGGGTTTAGGGTTTAGGGTTGAAGAATCATTGTCTCAAGGAAAATTGTATTGATTGGTGTAATATTCAAAATAATGTCTCGAACATGTGATCTCAAGAATCTTACACATTTTAAAAAATCACCATCTCTTAATATGATTTCTAGCACACATATCTATTAGGAAAAAAGTGGAAGGACAAACGGCTTAAACAACAAAAAATATGACATTCTTCTGAAATACCTTCCAACAATTTTAACATATTTAAAGGTTGGTTAGTTGAACTTTGAAAACAATGAAGCCCTAATCACGTGAGGACATAATGGCAAGATTGAAGCTACTTGCAAACTTCGCTTAGCTAATTTTAGTTATATCAATATTTCATAGATTCAATCACTTAATTCATTGGGATAAAAATAAATGGGAAAATTATTTTTAGTATGAAAATATTATTAATTATTATATATATTTTTTGCTTAATGTATAAATATACTATTATACATATATATATATATATATTTCTTTTTATAGATAATTAGTTGTTTTACTTGGTATAGTCCCAACATTAAACAAGGATGAAACAGTCTCCTTGTCCCCCAACAAACCAAACCCAACAAAATAGAAAACTTGAATAACAACCCTGGTCCAAAATAAGTGAACCCCTTCCTATAAATTTACCCTTTTTTTTTGGTCAAGCATTGATATGAGCAAAGAAGAACAGAAATGGCTAAAGCTTCTGTAATCACATTCCTTTTCTTCTTCATCTGCATATCGTCCTCCCTCAATTTCGCCTACGTTGCAGGCTCTGCTAAACAAAACAAGTACATCATCGTAGGCCGAGTTTACTGCGACACTTGCCGCGTCGAATTGGAGACGAAACTCAGCGAACCCATCAATGGTACATGTTCAAATCACTACATATTCTTTCATATTTCAAATGCACCTAAAAAGTGTGGTTCTTGGTACATTATAATTGACAGGTGCGGTTGTGAAACTGGAATGCAATAATCGTACCACCGGAGCAACTACCTATCAGAGCCAAGAAATAGCGACGAATCCATCGGGAGAGTACAGAATCGAAGTAACGGGTGACTACGAGGATTCCGACTGTGATATCAACCTGATAAAGAGTCCCAGGGAGGACTGCAGTGAACCGACGGAAGGCTGGAGGAAAGCTAGGGTCGTCCTCACCGCACGCGACGGCGTCGTCGGCGAGCTCCGATACCCCAACAACCTTGGGTTCAAGAAGAAGGAAGCTCTCCCTGGGTGTAAAAAAGTTCTTACAGATATGGGATATTATGAACTCAAAGAAGAACTTGGCCACGAAGCCGTCGCATAAACGCAACACTATTAAGGGAAAACTTTATTAATTATTATAATTATTACATCAACTCAATTAAGAAATAAATTAAAATACTTTTATTTACAATGCATGGTGGATATTACCATAATGGTGTTGCTTTTATAGTTTTATAAATATTTCAATAAAATAATTGAAAATTATATTTTAAGATTCAAAGACACTATCTAAAGTTTTTTTTCATGATATTACCGTAATGGCGTTGCTTTTATAAATATAATGTTGAGTTAATCGATCGACGAATCGGTCAAGAGATGGTGAATTGACAATAAAAATTTTGGTGGAAACTTTTACAGAAAATAGAAAATAATTATACTGCGATTTAGAGTGGTTCGACTTTCTCAACCAAAGTCTACGTCCACTACCTTAGCTATCCACACTAAGGATTTTCCACAAATTCACTCATTTGTCTTTCTTTTGAGGACAAAGAGAAACCTTACAACTCCCTCAAAAATTATACCCCAAATTTTTGAGAACACTCTCTCTCAAAGAGAACAATACAAATTTTGCAAACTTACAGAAAAATCTCACAAGACAAGATGTTTGCACAATTCTAGAACAAAGAAAGAACACTCAAGAATAATACAATTGAGTACAAAGGGTGTTCTTGAAAGCAAAATGAATATTGAATAGAAAATAGGCTTGAAATGTTCAAACTTGATGTTTAAAGCTTTCTCTTTGTTTCTCTCACAATTGTTATTGATCAATGGCTCCTAAGCTTGTTTAAATACACCTTGAATCACTTCTGAACGTTGGGAATCATTGGTGAAGTCAATAGAGCCGTTATTGTGTAATTATGATTTAAAAATCTGGTTGGGAGCGTGTGTGCATCGGTACACTATGTGTAAAATTCAAATATTTCGACTGTTATAAGACTTAGTGCATCGGAACACTGGGGGTGCATCGGTACACTAATTACATTCGATGTTTCAAAAGAGCCAGGAGTGCATCGATGCATGGTATGTGCATCGATGCATGGTATGTGCATCGGTTCATAAAATGCATTCGATGTTTCAATAAATTTAAGAGTGCATCGATGCATGGCTGTGCATCGGTACACAAAATGCATTCGAAATAGGGTGTGCATCAATACATCAATGAGTGCATCGGTACATCCCTTTGAAAAATAATTTTTTTGGCTCGATTTTGATTCGAAATACTTTGTAGAAATTGTTTCAAAAATATTTTAAGTTTAAAACACAATTTTACACTTTAGTAAGGATTGAAATTGATCTTTGAAAAGCTTGGAGTAATATTTTGATATTCAAATAATTTAATTGAATATAATTGTAAAATCTTAAAATTCAATAACATTTAATTTGTTATATCGAAACATCAAAATATTTTCAACATATAAGTACCACGCATTTATGTGTTCAAAATTCTAATTTATTATAAAATTTAAAATTATAATAAAGATTACAACCATAATCATTAACTAAACATGTAATTATAATATTTTTCTAAAACTATTGACACTAGTCAGTAGCGACCTCATCTAATTACATCGGCAAATAAACCACAAAACATGATCAAACAACTAAAAGACTTTGGACAAACCGTAAATCAAAGCTGAACAACATGTAAAAACTATCCACAAATGTAAATCGCGTATTCAAATCCAATCCAATAGTCTAATGTAAGAAATATCAGCAAAATAACAAATAAGCAATACACTGATCAGTCGAAATGACGTCAAATTCAATCTAAAAAAAAGATAAACGGAAGAATAGTCAAATGATCGATAAAAAAGATAAAAAATATACCAAAAGACATATGAAAACGTGTTATAAAGAAAAATCGTTAAAAATAAAATAAAAAACAAAGAAGGAGCAAAGCTTTGATGTAAAGAAGTAAAGGAAAAACAATGAATATTGACGGATTAAATTATGATTCACCCTTGATTTGACCGTGTAATTGGTAAATGAAGGACCAAATTGTAAGACATGAAAAATATTGAACCTTACATGGTTATTAGTCTTGAGTTATTAGTCCTGAGGTTAGATTTAATGGAATTTAATGAGAAATGTTTTATATGTTCCATTCATAGATTAATTTAGATATATTATTTATAAGATACATATATGTTATATCTTTTTTGACGCAACATATATGTTATATTTCTTTTATAGAAGGAACCAATTTTATTTAAAATAAGAAATATCTTGAATTATAATAAATATTTATAATCATAATAGTAAATTAAGCATATAATTAGGATTTTTTTTATAATCATTTAAACAAAACTAGCAACTTAAGACCACATAAGGACTAGACAAGGAAATATTAAAAATCTGGCCAAGAAACTCGAATAAAGATAAATACAAATAGATCTGATCGCATCAGCAAATGAACCACAAAAGGGGGTCAAGCTATTAAAAAGCCACCGACAAACCACAAATCAGACTCGAGCAATGTGAAAAGCTATCCACAAACGCAAATCATGTATCTACATCCAACCCGAGGGTCTAAAGCAAGGAAAATCAACAAGATATCAAATAAACATCATCCTGATAAGTCGTGACGATATCAAATCAACCATTAGAAAAAGATAAATAAAAGAATGTCAAATAATTGAAAAACATGCCAAAAAGCATAAGAAAATGGGTCATAAAAGCATAAGAAAACATGTCATACCGATAAACTTATTAAAAATAAAAAAAACAAAAGAAAATAGAGATACACTATAAAGAGAAGAAAAAGATAATAAGGATTATCGACTGTCGACAATCAATATTAAAATTGATGTCGTTGTCAATCAACAAAAAAGAAAAGAAAAGAGATGAATAACACACAAATGAAAAAAAATTAGGGTTGTTTAGACTCATGTTTATATATATATATATATATATTGCTCGATAAAAATAATTTTATCAATAATAAATAAAAACAATCCAAATTTTATGGCTCGTTAAAATGGAAAATCCTAAAACCCCAAATTTATTTCTCAAGCCCGGTTTTTAAGATTAGAAACCATTTTCCATCGAATATGGTCATCTTCTTCATTCTATTCATAAGCTATCGTTGAATTCTCAAACCTTATAGTGAGAAAAATATAAATTTCCCAAGTTTCGAGTTAGATGAGAAAAATCTTTAAACCCTAAATCCATCTTCTATTATTTAAACCAAATCATAATCGATATAAAATTTAAAATAAAAAAATGAAATAATTATAAAACATGATTAACATTTAATTTATCTTTTGAATTATATAATAATTATCGAAATAAAATTTATAAATATATATTTTTTAAATAAAATAATCTCATTTAGGTGTAACAAAACTTAGTGTTAGGGTGTTTCATAGAAAACAAATTCTAAAATATTTATCTGAAATTTTGGGAAAACATTCTAACGTAAAACAGTTGTGTTTTACAGATTTTCTATTAGAAAGTGATTATAAAAAAAAGTAGAATAATAATGAGGATAAATCAGTAAGTTCTTATAATTAGATGGGCAAAAGTGCAACTTATAGTAGAAATGGTAGTGAAGAAAATACATAATATTAAAGTTTTTAATAGCCCTGTGTTCAAGGGAAGTATTTATCGTTTCCAACTTCATCCCTAAGTTCATAATAGCCCATCTCCGTAAGAACTTGTTTGCACTCAGGGAGAGCTTCCTTCATCTTGAACCCAAGATTGTTGGCAAAGCGAATTTCGCTGCTAACGCCGTCGTCGGTGGTGAGGACCACCCTGGCTTTCCTCCACACTTCGGTCGGTTCGTTGCAATCCGGCCGAGGACTCTTCACCAGGGAGACGTCGCAGTCAGAATCCTCGTAATTACCTTCCACTTCGATTTTGTAGTATCCGTTATTATCGGTTAACATTAACAGACTGCGGTACGTGTACGATCCGTCGATTCGGTTCTTGCAGTCCAGCACCACAGTTGCACCTGCCACATCACAATGCACCAAAACTCATATCTGTCAACACATCTTTATGCATGTGAACTATTTTCATGTTTACGCAGGGACGAACACAGGATTTTACATGTCGATTACAAAAGGAATGTTGATTATATATACCACTTATGGGTTGGCTGAGTTTGGTCTCGAATTCGACACGGCAAGTGTCGCAGTAAACACGGCCTACGACAATGAACTTACTCGGGTCAGTAGCGTTTTTGCCGTAGGCGAAGCTGAGGGAGGACGAAATACAGATCAAGAAGAAAAGGAGGACGAATTCAGAGGATTTTGCCATTTTTCTTTCTCTATTTTTTGCTCCTTCTTGGGTTATCAATGCTTGACAATGGATGGTTAATTTATGGGGAGGGGTTCACTTATTTTAGGGTATTGTTGTTATTCGCAGTTTCTATCTTTTAGGGTTTCGTTTGTTGAGGGGGACGGGATTTAATCAAACAAAACAACTAATTATCTAAAACGGGACTACCAAATACTGAATTTTTCATGCTAACCTTAAATTTTTATTCCAATGAATAAGTAATTATAATTACGAAATATTGGTTTTAGGTTGAAGGAGAAGGGATTAATACATAATTAATGATTAATTTTAGATAAAAATATATATTTTCATTAATCTAAGGTGAGTAAAGCTTAAACATCCTTATAATCTTTTGTGCTCAAACCTAGAATTTTTAAAAATAATGATCATCTATTTATTATTGAGGTAGCAAAACCTGAACTACATTTTATATTGATGGTTGTATTTTTGGATACTCTCTCTCCCTAATAGGCACCACATTTTTGCCCTTCTTTTTATTTAATAAACTAAGAAATCATATAACTTATCCTACAATTAGTGCACCTGTCTATTAGAAGCCTTATTTCATTGAGCAATCACATTTCTTACCTTGTTTTATCACGAATTGCAAAATTTATCCCAGCTCTTCAACTAGTTGGAGAAACTCACCTATAGTCGTATGAATTTCTATAATTTGTAGTTAGCTTGTATATCAGGTTCAACTGAATTTAATTCTATTTTTTCCTTTAATAAAATGTTAATCGATATTCAATGTTTATTACAACGCAATATGCCCTGGCTTTCAAAAAGTCAATGTTGTGACATTATCACTGCCTTAGCCTCTACTACCTAGGTACCTGACTCGTTTTTTGGGTTTTGAAAGTTTTATTTTTACTGAGAAGAACTTTTTTTTTTTTTTGCGGATGTTTTGTATGTGATCAGCTGTGCTGCACGAATTGCACTTGCTGGTAATGATCTAATTTCTTCTTGTTTTCCTAACTGGATTCTGTATGACTTATAAGATGGTAGTTGAAAGTTTGTTGCCTTTCTCCGATTAGTCTGTCTTGTTTCTGGTCGTTGGACTGATTTGTTTAATTCTCTTGCACTAGTAGTTCATGAGTGCAGTATATTCATATAATTTTAGATTTTAGAACGAAAAATAGATTAATTTATGGATAGCAAAACACGCATTAAACAATGGGATGAATTTTTTCTATGTCAAAGTGGTATTTCAAGCTCACAAATTGTAGCAGAGTACATTTTACCATATACAATTGGTACGAAGTGAGTTTGAGTTTTCCTTTTGATATTATATAAGGGTAAAAGGAATGGTACGGTAAATGTCTCTTGGTAACTTCCATCGTCGGTAAAAGAAGTTCACATGTTACAGACAAAATGATGGTGGAAGACAAAAATGGGTAGTGATGATTGATCGAGGAAGTTTAGATATGTTTGATGGCAGTAAGATCAACTTACCAGAGGAAACGATTCTTCGAAATGCTTTCTCGTGTTAATAAAATCTGTGTCGAGGCAAATTTAACTAATCATCATCATCGTCTGATGGCAAAGTTGGACTTTTTGAGCAGGTATCTATCTGATGAAGTTCCAACATCTTGGTCTCTGGATTGCATAGCCCTGCATAACAAGAGTACTGTTAGAACGCCATGTGTGGAGGTTTCAAAGCCATTGTTGCAACTTTAAGGCTCCAAAATTTCCAAAATTTTTGGATCAAGTCAATAGACAAAGTGCCAGTTGACACCGCCATAGTTTCTGGAGAGAGTAGTTCTGAAATGTTAATTTTAAATTCAGTATGAGGCCGCTAAATAGTGTTTTTTGGGAGACAATCTAACCTGGTAACGGGTTGACAAGCTTTAGAATGTTTATTATTGGTGGCACAAGGTTGCAAGCTTTGCAATTACATGGAACCCTACCTGAACATTTGGGGATATCCCAGACCGCAACAGATGATGCCGTACACTCTGGCTCACACAATGTTCGACTATCCTCGTGGTTGACATTCATTGCAAGCATCCATGCTCCGATGGTAACATCCTCGTTACTGAACATCCGAAAACTGCAGTTCGAAAAAAATGGAAAAAACAATGTAACAATTCAGAGATTAATGAGCTGTCAAAGAGAAAGAACATGTTGCAAGATATACATACTGTATTAAGCTTTCCTAATATTAGAATATACACAATTTTCATTTAGAACCAAGCCCCCAACCTCAATCAATACAATGGAGTTGGGGAACGATAAAAATCTTCATCAGCATACATAATGTCTCGGTTCAAAACAAGACTGAAATTGGGGGCATGGCTGGCCACGAGCCCATGAGCCCAAACAAGAGTTCAAACATTTGAATAGTATGTTAAGCTAATCACATCAAGTTCAAAACAAGGTTGAAAATAGGAAATGTTGGGAGCAAGATCTACATCGATAGAAAGTGAAAAACTGCAATCCAAATAGAGACAGGACGTGAGCAAGAAACAATAGGAATGGAAGGAACCGTTTTGATAGATAGTTATGGATTAGATATGAAATCATTGAGAGTACCTGTCATTTCTTAGTGCAACCAAACTTGCAACAACATCTGACGAAAGTGCATATATAGGACCATAGGCATGAAGAAAGTATTCCTTGCCTAATAGAGAGGATAGTGGCTCATACCTGCATATATGTTTAGTCAAACATGATCGATCTACACCGGTATGAATATCAACATTAATAGAAAGTCAACTTTATGGTTCCATATGCAATAATAATAGATCTTGTAGAATATAATTCACAAAAGAAACCTATGATGAATTTCAAACCCTTCAAATCATAACCTCTCTACCTTTTAACTACGTATACAAGTGATAAAATATAAATTCAAAGTAAATTACAATATTCTATGCTACACATTCACAAATGAAAGAAACCTATGGTTTTGTATGATCCTTACAAATGACCATGACAATTATAACCAATAAAAGGTGGATGATTTCCTGAGTTTTCCTTAAAGTTTGTAATGTCGGTAGATGTCATTAAACTAGTTCTTTACATCCCCTTTTCCTCCTAAATCAAATTGCCAATATTAATGAAGATAGAAAACTATAGTTCTATCAATTTACAGCTTAGGTAAATTTCTAAACCATAGGTTAATACTAACCATTTCTATCAAGGAAGATAGAACACTCACCTAATACATGAACAGAAAAATCAGTTTAGAAAAAATTCTAAACCATAAGTTAATACTAACCATTTCTATCAACGAAGATAGAACACTCACCTAATACATGAACAGAAAAATCAGTTTAGAAAAATTTCTAAACCATAGGTTAATACTAACCATTTCAGCTTAGGATCGGTGAACACCGGACCCTTTTTCATGCAACCAAGGTAAGTCTGAGAATGAGAACGTTCTTTTGCTAGTAGAAGTGATAGCCGATCTGCAAATCAAGAGTTCAACATTGTTAACTATCAACATTAAGTGCACAACAAAGGTAAAGAAAACCGTTCAACACAAGCATAAAAGTGTAAATAAATCAAATCACCTGGTCTCAAATAAATATCATCATCAGCTTTGACGTAGAACTCCGAATCAAAGAGTGCATACGCAGCTTTAAAGAATGCTAACCTGAAGCATGCATTCTAAACTAAGGGATCTTTCAATCGAATAACATGACCAATCCATAACTCAAATATTTGAATAAAGGAACTAACGTTTTGTACGGGAGCTTACTGTACTCTTCCTCAATATCCAACAAAAGGAAATCATCATATTCTGCTACTTCTTTTTTCAGCTCTGCCATCTTTGATTCATCATTTGTTTTACCAATTACAAATCTAAAAGCCAATCCAGTTGCCTCTTCCAACCTGAAAAAAAAAACAAAAAAAAGGTAAAATTAAATTGTATTTAAAATTTAATGGTTAATTCAAGCATTATTGTTCATAGTAAGATAGAATTATACGTATTTCAAACACGGAGCTTAATCGTTGTAAAGTTCAAGCTGTGAGAATTAATTTAATGTGAAAATTAAATTACAGCTAAAGTACTGTATAATGACAAAATGTTACATACTGTTTAAGGCCTTGACGATCGGAAGGCATCCACGTCTTTCTCAAGGACTGTCTCCGGCCTGTCGAGCCGAATCCGGTTTGGATCCCAACAAATCCCATAATTTTATGCCTCTTCGTCCCATTATCATCAATTCCACCTCCACCAGCAGCAGCGGTATTAGCATTAGCGGTTTTGTCCCAAAGAACACGGACGGATCTCGGTTCGGAGTTCCGGCAGCGGAAGCCGGATCCACCGGAGGAAAGGAAAGATGAGAGGGCGAAGAGGAAAGAGACAATGGCGAAGGTGAGAAGGGCGGAGAAGATGAGGCGAGCAGATCTGGCGGGGTGCGTGGGCTGCGGCGAAGTGCGCGCGTGGAAGAATTTGGGAGACGATGGCATAACTGTGATGCTGGAGGGGGAGAGATTTGGGGAGGACTCAACAAAGAAATTGATGGGTTCAATTGAAGTGTATCACAAGTCAAATATACAAAGAAGGTTGACGTGTCTTAACTAACAGTTTTCCGTTCTTCGAATTCGTCGGCAGTTAAATATCGGTTTCAAGGTTAAGCAAACAAGATTTAATTTTTAAAAAGGGTAAACTATGTGAATAATCCCTTTTGCTTAGGTTATGTTTGACTTGGGTCACCAATTTAAAAAATAAGGGTAAATAATCCCTAACGTTATCGGTCTGTCCGGTTTAAGTCCCTCCACCGTTAACCCTTAACAAATATGTGACATAGCCGATGGGCTAAAAACGAACATGAGTTAACAGCTGAGGGATTATCCGCATAGTTTACCCTTTTAAAATTAAAGGCTATGTACTTTTAGTTTTTAAATTGGTGACCAAAGTCGGTTAGACCGAAAATAAAAGAGAGTATCCGTATAGTTTACCCTTTTAAAATTTTCAAGATTATAATTATTTTGTTTGAATAAATTATTATATAAACTATTTAATTTTTTAATTTTTTAAAAAATAACTAATATTTACTTTAAAAGTGTTTATATTTTATAATTAAATTAAATTAAAAATATGTTTTATTTAAATTTAATTGATATCAGCTAAATTTAAAACTTTTCTATGTAAAGAATACTTGTTTTTACTATTAGAATACATTGAACTAGAAACCGAGAAAAGGACTTGTCCTATAACCTTCCTCCACAATAAAGACAAATTAAAGTGCTTTAATTTGATCATTGATGCTTAGCGTACAAGAAAATGTTTTATTACCGTGGATGATTGACACTTAACATAAAAAAGTTAATATATAATAAAGGATAAATTATACTTGTAATCACTTAGTTATTGTTTCTTTTCATTTTGACTATTGATCTTTGAATTTTATCAATCAAACCACTTAAGATTTAATTGTTGTCAATTGAGTCACTGATCCTTAACATTTAACAGATAAGATGACGATTTAGTTAACAATTTGATATAATTACTCATTTTTATCTCTTTTACTTATGTATTATATTAATCTAATTCTAATTTTAATAAATTAAGATAAATTTGCTCGCACAAGATGATTACATATGTCACTAGTTAAAGAGTTAAATCCAATGCCTCGAGACCTTGATGATTTGTTGGACTCTCGGGCTTTCCTTTTAGAGGTGGGCAAAATCAACCCATTAATGCTGGCACAATAATTATTTGGGTTTCTATGTGATTAAAAAATTAATTAGCAATCTACGATAATATTATAATGTCTTAGAACTTGTCACGTGCGCATGACGAGTTCTAATAAAATATATTTTTATTGAAACATGTTACCCCAATATGATAGGTTTTAATAAAAAAGTATATTTTGTTGGAACTCGTCGTGCCCACTTGACTAGTTTGAATAAGAAAATATTTTTTTAGAGCATATCACCTCCACATAATGAGTTCATCCTTAATTGTAATAAATGTCGTAAATCACAAAATAAACTTGAATTGTCTTATTGGACTAATAAATTTATCCATAAGCATTATCGGGCTAAATAAACCTTTAGAAGGTGATCCTATAAACTTGTTGGGATGGATTTGTGACATCTTTTAAATCTTGTAATCAAACTATGATCGTTTTTATTAAAAAATTACCATAATATTAAATATTACATATCTAACACTCGTTTGACCAAAAAACCTGAACTAACACCCAAATATTAGAAACCCACCTAAGGCGCGTCCTACGTGGCATGCCTCCCCTGCATCCCAAAAAGGTGCATCCTATGTGGCACGCCTCCCCTCAAAGGCGCGTCCGACGTGGCACACCTCCCCCGGGTTCCCGTCCAACTTTTCCACCAGGTTATTTCCTACTCTCTTATCCCCTATATAAACCACACCTTGGCCTCATACAAACCACAACAAAAATTATATATTATTTCTATCAAGTTCTAGCCAATAAAGTATTTTGTTATCTTTTTATTTAATAAATTTATTATTATTTTTATTACATAATTTTGTATTATTTTATTAATTGATTATAAACTTATTTAATTTATATTTATTATCTGTAGTTAAAAGAAATGAAAGGCAAAATGTTACGATTGGATGCTGATCATATTTCGAGTCATTTTGTCGATACGATCAGAATACGAAACTATATTCTTTTTAAATTTTGAATATTAGGAAATTGATCATATATTATTTAAATTGTTAGAATTTATTTAAATAATTTTTGTAATATTAGTTCAAATTTTAATGGTTATAATTTATTTATTAGGAAATTGATCGAATATTAAAACTTTTTATTCGTAACAACAAGATGAATGCACCAAGGCGTATCTGATAATATTTATCTATAACTGTATTTAATTACTTAGCAAAAATTGAAGGAGGTTGTAAACTTGAACTCACCCTTATTTCTGCATTAATTAAGAGGTGGAGGCCAGACACACAACCGTTTCACTTGCCACGTGGGGAGTGCACCATTACCCTGGAAGATGTTTCAATGCAGTTGGGGCTCCCGGTAGATAGAATTGCCATTTTTGGTGTGGCTGATGATGATTGAGAGAATTTGTACAAAGAGTATCTTGGTGATGCCCCGAAGACTTCCAACGGCGGCCGAATAACGTTATCATGGTTGCAAAGAAATTTCAAAGAGTTGCTCGAAAATTGTTTCAAGGAAAAGGAAAAAGCGTTTGCCCAAGCATACATATTACAAATTATTGGAGGCATATTGATGCCCAACAAGTCTCAGAACCATGTCCATTATATGTGGTTGCGATATCTCATCAATTTTCAAGTAGCCGACACGTTGAGTTATGGCTCTGCAGTGTTGGCATTTTTGTTTAGATAAATGTGTCAGACCATGAAATATAGTAAAACTGCTATTTGTTGTTGTCTCATACTTCTCCAATCATGGGCATGGTATCACATGCCTTTTTTGTGTCCGATCGTGAATGATTTATTTGTATTTTTATTACTATCAAGGTAATTTCAATGCTATTTTTTAAATAATGTTTTTGATTATTATATAATGACAAACACACACATATATATATATATTAAATAGGTGGTCATTAAATAGAAAATATCATCGTAATATCCCACAAAAATTAAAAGATATCCGATTACTCATTGACCAAAAAACTGGTTTAGAGGTACGTTTTTTAATTTTATTTTTTTCATTTAATTGTATTTATATAATTTGATTCTCATTTAAATTTTGATAATATATATATATATATATATTTTAGTTCAAATGGTTACCCTATTTGAATGATGAAATGAGGGTTTGCTCCCACTTGATTTGAGTTGGCAATTGAATGTATGGTTGGCAATTGTTCCTCTTATTTGTTATGCTATTGTCGAGTGACATCCGATTGACCGTGTGCTTCGTCAGTTTGTTTGCACACAATATATTCTTGAAGTACCAATAAATATCGACAATATGCATAACATCGATATACGAGAAAAAAAGAGGTTAACTAGTTGGTGAAGCATAGAGATTGGTTAGCGATGTGGAAGAACTGACATCAATGTTTTCCCCCTCGAGAGTATATATTAGAAAATGGTGTCATGGTTTCAAATAGTTATATTGAATGATTTAATGCAAACGCGAAGTCATTCTTACTTTCAGAGGGAGCACGAGGAGGGCAAATCATTGTTGTCAACAAAAACGTCCACCGTCACAACATCATCGTCCCCCATTCGTGGATCAAGAACAGGCGCATCCGTGTCGTCCTTAGATATGCCACCAGAACTATCACAATAACAACCATCGACACCTGTTTACATCCCTAGCCCGACGGTTCATATGGCACCACCCTACTTTTAGATGCCACCGCCCCACTTTCAAATGTCACCGCAGCCGGTTCAGATGCCTCTACTCATGGTTACGTACATATCACATAGGGTTTTATAACACCCTCTGACGGATATTATATGACTATGCCTATGGATCCAACATTTACTTCATGGTACAGACCGTAATATGGATCGCAGACATCTATTTCCGGTTTTTCACAGTTCTCAACGAGTGGTGGGATGGTTAGTCATACTCCTCCAGGGTCTTTATTCTATTGAGAACATGCATTGTCGTCATTGGCTTATCGAGAAAATATAACTGAGACTGATGATGAATGTGACGATGACGATTAAGACAACGACGAAAATGATGAGAGTAAAGATAAAGAGTAACCTCCTAGAAGAAACCCTCATTGAAGTAGACAACCACCACCGTGCGGAACACATTCAAGGAGGCATCGATAGATAACGTTGATGATATTTTCATTTATTGTAATATTTTCATTTATTTTGTCTTTATATTAAGTAAGTTTTTCTTATTATGTCTAATGTTTACATTAAGGAGCATCTTCTGGTATAAGTAAGCTCAAATTAAATTAATTGGTACTAAAATAAAATGAAATAACATAATTTGAAACATTAGAAAATAGAAGTATATGAGTAGTGGTCATCGATTACGTGATGATAAAAGAGATGAACATTTTTTCTATTAAGGCCTAGGTTTTTGCAATGCCCACATATTTTGTGTTTTTTGACATATCTCGAATATCCATATCATAATGAATTCAAGTGTATTTTGGACTACCTGGATCCCTTAATAAGTATGGATCTGGTATAATTAGAAGCTAAGTCTAAACCTTATTTAAGTCTTTTTCATTACCTATAGAGGAAATTCATATTCATATACCTTGAATACTTCTAAAAGTTGGTATACGAGATCCACATAACGCTTATAATTTTGACGAGAATGTGAGCAATATACTATGACATGAGAGCATAGATACTTCAGAACTTGAAAAAACCCACAGTCACACAACCTCTATCATAGATTAACTCTAAAAGAGTTAAATTTTATCCCTTGAAGAGGTTGTGGCAATTCTGTGACATGAAATAATTCCTAGGTGCGAGAAAAGCTTATCACCGACATTTTGTCTGATGCTGTAACTTTTTGTTGTAAATTTGCTATTAATCTTGGGTGATAAACATGACCATTTTGCATCCATATAAGAGCTTGACCCCGAGCTTCGCAAAAAAGTTGACCCAAACAAAAATACGTCTTTTTAGCCAAAGCAGTTACTAGTAACCTAAGTTGTCATATGTATTAGTTAGTGTGATATATAAATAAATTAGATGAAAATAATTAAGAAAAAAATTGGAAAAAAATAACGTACACATACGTATAATTATTTGGTGTTCATCATTCTTCTTGTATTTTTCGTGGTAGTTTGCAGTAATATGTCGGATACCGAGACAATGTTGGATGTGTGAGAGTTTTAATATTGGACCCAAAGAGTCCATTGCTACTTTGATCTAAACTCCTCGGTCTGAAATGACACAAATGTGTTCCATCTGACAACATGCAACCGTATATTTCTCAGAAAAAGGCCCAAAGACTTTGTATCTTCTCCTTGAACAAGGGAAAAAATAGAAAGAATGTTGTGATTATCATCTTAGACTACTGCCAATAATAAAACTTGCTTGTATTTTCCATACAAAAATGTACCATCATTTTGGACTACGAGTTTGCAGTATTTCAAAGCATTAATACATTGTGGGTAAGTCCAGAAAACACAGTAGAATTGGCAACGATGTCGAAGCACTCGATCATTCTTGTAGGCATAACGAGTTTCGAACTCAACTACTGTCCCAGGATTCAGTCTTCGTAGCAGGTTAAATCAGCTGGGTAGTTCGTTGTAAGATGCATCCTAATTACCGTGTAGTTTTATAACGACATTATGTTTTGCCTTCCATGTTTTTTTTTGCAGGAGACGGTGTACCCATATTGAGATTATATTAAAGAAATCAACATTGCAATAGCCATGTGAGAGCTTGCTTTGACCATGGGCATGATGACTTGGCAAATCACTTTGAGTCCAAGTTTCGATGGTCCTGGTTGATCCCTCGTTTACAACATGTGTAAGAACCGATATATTTTGTTAGTTCCCATATGCCATTCTTTCTTTTCTTTTTTGAAACACGAACCATCCAATTATAACCATTATCATGTTTGACACAATAACATACATACTTTTTTGTGGTAGATCAATCGACTATGGAGTGAACTGAATTATGAATATTGTAATTATTTATTGCCATCATTGCTTCGTCTATAGATGTGAACTAAATTCCACAATACAAATCACCATCGTTAACTGGTAAATACCTCTCATATTTTCTAACATTAGGCATATCCAGAAATGTTGGCCCGTACATCACGTCATAGTCAGCTTCAAACATGCATGCTGGAGGTTCGTATTGAAACGTATTTATGGAAACGTATTTATGGAAACTTTATCCGCATCATCATCTGAGTCCATGTTGAATTGTGGTAATTCATGAACGAGTAATCCAGTCTCAGCATCATATGCTCTTGGCTCACAAAAAGGTTATTCTGGTGGTGATGAGAGTTCCTATATGATTCCAATGTTTAGGCTTCCATGATAGTTCGCAGATAAATGCCTTACTCTGGAACTTGAAGAGATATCGCCATATGGGTTATGAATTGAGTTTTGTATCGAAGGCATCTCTATACTGAGGTCAAAAAAGCTGGCAGATGAGTGTCTCCCTCTAAAGCTGGAAGGCATATCTATATTGAGGTCGAAGAAGCTGGCAAGTGAATGTCTCCCCCTGGAACTGGAAGGCGTATCCATGTTGACGTCAAAGAAGTTGACAAATGAATGTCTCCCTATTGAACTTGATGGAATGATACCTGGAGCTGGATTTGCCATTAATGATGTTAAATAATTACAAATTGTTTGAGTTGGATTGTCAACTTGATGAACTGGTTGAGGCAACCCATAATGGGAGAATAATGACATACCACAAACTGCATGAACGTCAACAAATGTGGCATATATTTCTGTAATAGAGTCTGAATTTTGATTAGAAGTATCAACCATCATAGCAACATCTTCATCGGTGGAGAGGTCGAATGTTGTATATGTTAAAGGAAAAGTTTCAGTCAGAAATCTGTATTGAAGTTTAAACAATCTTTTAGTATTTCCAACACGAGTCTTCCTTGAGATTTTTGTTATTAATTCCTCAATAGTTATGTTTCTCTTGAAGGTAATGAGGATATAATGATCTGATTGGAAAAAAATCCCAAATTCATCTTCCCGAATTTCATCATAATAAACAACAGCTGAAATATGATCCATTTTTAGAATTTGAAAGTTTGAGAGTTTGATAGTTTCAGAGTTAGAGAGTTTGAGAATTTAAGAGAGTTTGAGAGTTCGAGCAATTATTTTCGTTAATTATATTTGATGGGATGAGACACCGTGACATGACAGAGACTATGAAAAAATGGAAAACACTTCCCTTTGAACGAGCCTCTCAGACAATTATGTAAACTGAGATTTTTATATATCGGCAGTCGGGGAACTATTCCCATAAACGCTATATATTTGATGGGATGAGACACTATGACATAGCAGATATTCTCTGAAAAAGGGGGAAGCGTTTCCCTTACAACGAGACATTAATTACGGTAGGAGTGGAAGAGGATGGAGGTGAGTGGGACACAGTCGAGACGCATGAAGGGAAAGGATGGGAGGCGTGGTGCATCAAAGGCGCCTTAGGGAGGCGCGGTGCACTCGACACGCCTTAAGTGAGTTTTTAATATTTTAGGTGTTAGTTCAGATATTTTTAATCAATGGATGTTAGATAGTTAATATTTTAATATTATGATATTTTTCCGATAAAAACGCCCAAACTATGGCTCGTATGATTTTTTTTAACGAGGAAAAAATGAAAAAGAATTTTGAGACCGTTCATCTTTACGATCTCATCAATTAGCCGCCATATTCGAACACTACTGAAACCAAGCTCCATCGAGCACGGTCACAGAGGGTGCGAGTTGATATCTCTGGCATTATAACTTGAAAATCCGAAAAACCCCCTAACGAAATGGCATTGTTACAATTACGCCACTTGACCCCCCACTCTTTTCCTTTTACTCCCAAAGTTCATTTCCATTTCTCCGCTCGCAAATCCCTTCGCTTCTCCTACTCAGCTTCTGCTTCAACCACGATGGCTAAAGAAGTAAATCCAGAAACAAATATTGTTTATCTATTTGTTTATTTTTTGATTTTGTGATTCTATGACGTCGATTTTGATTTTTGCTATTGCTTAGGTTTTGGTGCCGATTGCAAACGGGACGGAGCCGATGGAAGCTGTGATTACGATCGATGTGCTGAGGAGATCGGGAGCTGACGTCACTGTTTCTTCCGTCGAGAAAGATCTCCGTGTTGACGCTTGCCACGGTGTTAAGATTGTTGCGGATGCTCTGATCGGTGATTGCAAGGACACCGTTTTTGATCTCATAGCGCTTCCTGTAAGTTGTAACTACTTCGTTTTTTTACCTTTTTCACTTCTCCAGGCTGTTATGTTGAGGATAAATGCAAATATATGGAAATTTAAAGTGATTTTTGGTTTTATTGCTATTTTTAAAAACCTTCTCGAAACAAAGTTGCTTACAAAAGCTAATGAATTCTATGAATGCATGATTGGTATTTTGTAATGACCAAAAGATGATGTCTTAAATTTCATTTGTTATAGAAACGAAGTCTTACTTAAATTACTCTGTTTAAAATTCAAATTTTGGTCTTATCTTGCGTTTTTAGTTCATACAAATAATATCGCATTTGTCATTGATACGTATGTATATTTTGGATTTAGGGAGGCATGCCTGGTGCTACCAACCTTAAAGATTGTTCAGTTCTTGAAAGTGTTGTGAAGAAGCAGGCTGCAGATGGACGGCTTTATGCTGCTGTGTGTGCTTCACCTGCAGTTGCTCTTGGTTCTTGGGGTCTGTTGAAGGGACTGAAAGTGCGTACTATGTGATAAGCTTAAGTATTTCACAGATCGTGCTATATGTCGTTGCTATTGGTGATATGTTTTGTGTTGTGTATAATGTTGCTTGGTTGGACTCGCAATAGTCATGATTGTTCTTGACAGGCTACTTGTTATCCGTCTTTTATGGAGCAACTGTCATCTTGTGCAACAGCTGTTGAATCAAGAGTTCAGCAGGATAACAAAGTTGTGACAAGTCGTGGACCAGGCACTACCATGGAGTTTGCTGTAACGCTAGTTGAGGAATTGTATGGCAAAGACAAAGCTGCTGAAGTTTCTGGGCCATTGGTATGTAGTTTTCTACAGTAGTAGTTATTTATGCATTCTTTTGGGTGAAATGGGGAAAATCATCTGGCTAACTAGATATTCAGTAAATGATATCACTGTTTGCTAAAATGTAACCGATTGTCTTCAGGTGATGCGTCCTAACCATGGTTATGAGTACACAGTCACTGAGCTGAATCCTATGGAGTGGAAATGCAATAATATTCCCCAGGTGAGGTTTTAATGTTGGTTTCCCGGTTTAGCATTTACATTTTGTCAAGTTTCTGTGCTATTGCTGTTCCTAGCAATAGCTTATGACTGGCGCAAAAATGTGACTACAACTAGGTCAGAAACCAATTAAAGGTCTAGAGGTCCTTACTCAAGGAACCCATATAAAGCCAAAAAATAAGATTGTCAGCTAATAAGGCTCAATTAACATACAAGCTAATATGCACTCAGCATTCATCCCTAGTAATGAAACTCAAAACTGAACCTAGCTGCAGCTTTTCAATACATGGCAAGTTCCACTTTATAGCCTTTAGGTCTAGTTTTGCACTTTCTAGGTGTCTTTGTTATCTCTGATTCTTTATGTTTATGCATCTGTGGTCGATGAAAGCATAACCTTGTAACTCAGCTCAATTATGACAATCTTCTAGTTTCTAGGGTGTCTTAACTGCAGTGAGAAACAATGGCACTCATTTTGACATGTGGACCACTGACCAACATGCTGGTTCCAAGTATTCTGACATTCAAACTTCTCTTCCTTGCAGCACTATTTTCCATATTTTTGGGTTCTTTTTTATAATGAAAGCATGTTCCATTGTTGTTTCAGATCCTTGTAGCAATTGCTGATGGCTCAGAAGAAATGGAAGCAATTATGATAATTGATATTTTGCGTCGAGCAAAGGCAAATGTTGTGGTGGCCTCCGTTGGAGACAATCTTGAAATTCTGGCTTCAAGGAAAGTAAAATTAGTGGCAGATATGCTTCTTGAGGAAGCCGCTAAACTTTCATATGACCTTATAGTCTTGCCAGTAAGTCGAAATTGCCATCTTCCTTGACTCGAGTCCTTTCAATTTTTCTTCCTTCGTTAAATATATTTTAAACTTGGTTTGTGCATTTCTTTTTTCAGGGAGGACTTGGTGGTGCCCAAGCATTTGCCAACTCCGATAAGCTGGTGAGCTTGCTAAAGAAGCAGGCTGAATCAAACAAACCCTACGGAGCAATTTGTGCATCTCCAGCTTTGGTCTTGGAGCCCCATGGCTTACTCAAGGTTTGATTTTGATCAAAAATTGCATCGAGTGAATAATTGTTTCATCTTTCATGTTATGAAAGCTAGTTTACTTAACATCCTTTAGTTGCTCAGTAAAATAAATGATCATCGCACTTAAAAATCCACAATCTATCTCTGTGGAGGCTTTGATTAAATAATTCTAATATTTTATAATACCAACAAAGAATTAGTCTATAGGTCATTGCAAACAGTTGTAAGTTTAGTTATTTGCCTTTGCCTTTGAAACATAAAACTTCAACTACACAAATCTATTAAAAAAATTCAAATTCGCTTTGCTTTCGCACTTTAATATTTCACTTAGTCATGAGCCATATTTGCTAAGTTTTCATGTCGGTCTTGTGATATTTGACTCAATATACAGATCTGAGGGCGATACTGAAGTCGTGAGAAAATTTCTGCATTTGGTATTCTTGGATGTTTAACAGTTGTATTCTGCTATGGTCCAGGGCAAAAAGGCCACAGCTTTCCCTGCAATGTGCGACAAGCTGTCGGATAAGAGTTTCATTGAGAACCGAGTGGTGGTGGATGGCAATCTCATTACAAGCAGGGGTCCAGGAACTTCCATGGAATTCGCACTTGGAATCGTGGAGAAGTTTTTCGGACGCCCAAAAGCTTTAGAACTAGCAAAGGTAATGCTTTTTGTACGCCAGTAGATGAGTATGAATCTTTGTCCTCCGTCTTTACTACCGGAGAACATGCTGTGTGATCAAAGGTGAATTTGCATTTGAATACAAATTCGCCCTGCGGTTTGAATACAATAGTTTGTTGATAAATAAGATTTGGAACAGCTGAGCAATAAAAAAGACCCAGGTTCATTTATGATGCTTTCTTTACCAATATGATCTCTACAATGCAATTTTATTTTTATAGAAGTTGGAGGTCTCATTAAAAACTCTCTTCTTATTCTTTAACACACTAAGAAGTATGTTAACTAACATTGGAAGGAATAAAATAATACCTCATAGTTTATTAATAATAATACCCAATACATAAGAAAACACGAAATATACTCCTATGGTGATATATACCATTACAAGAAACACCTTAAACTCTTATATTCTCAACTAAAACCACAATCGGCAATTACCATATTTCTAAGTTACACATCCAGCTACAATGCAAATTTACCCCAAGCTTACTTTTGATTTCTAAGAAGTTCAACATTTGAATAAATTCTTTTGATTAAAAGAATCTCATTTGGCTATCATATTTAGAAAAGTTAATTTGTATGACCGGGTTACATTGCTTTTAACTTGTTACATTTAGGTCCTCATATTCCCTCTCTTTCACGCACTTGGTCGAGAGATGGCTCAGTATTAACCAAACAAAAGTAATGGAGTTGAAGATAAGATTGAATCTTTACTAGGCTCGCGAGTAAGGTGCTTATTTTTTTTAGTATAATCTTTTTGCTTTTGAAGCAAAATTTAGTAATCATGAACAATAATATTAGCACAGATATTGAAAATATCTTAGTTGAACATTGCTACAGTGTCATAACTGCCCTTCGATATTTCAGTTCCCAAGGAGAGAGAAGGGTTAATTACATTTTTAGTCACTTTTAAGTTTTATTACTAATATTGTGGAGATTGATGTATTTTTGGGTAAATTATGCGTGTAGTACCTAAATTATCCATTTTGGTCTATTTTAGTATCTAAACTTTTAATTCTTTTAAAATCATACCTATAGTTTAGTTTTTATTTCATTTTAGTACACTGATCAAAATTTAACGTTAAGTTTTGAATAAAAGTAAAAATTTAGATACTAAAACGAATAAAATTGATAGTTTAGGTACTAAACTCGTTAAAGTTTTAATAATGCAACGTTAAAATGAAATAAAAACTAAACATTAGGTATGATTTTGAAAAAAAAAAACTAATTTTAGATACTAAAATGGATCAAAACGGATAATTTAGGTCCCAGAAAAAAAGAGAACACCAAACTCACGATCACCATAATCCAAGTAGGACCAAACTGAACACCCAGACAAACTGGAAGAAGCTCCAACCCAAAATCCTTCAACTTTCCTCGAAACGCAGAAACTAATGCTAATTGAACTTCTAGAAACCTAAAGCTTCTGTTCCACTTTCCTCGAAACGCAGAAACTAAGCTAATTGAACTTCTAGATATGGGATGTCTCTCTAATAAATAAAAAAATCGGGTAAGCGAAGGTCTGCATCTCTTCACATGCGCAACATCGCACAATAACAGCTCATACCCCAAAAGTGCCCCATGAACGACCTCCAACGCATTAATCCACTCCTCTGACACCCAAGACATGCGCATCAATCCCATAACATACTGTCGGAGAATCACTTCAACAGCCCATACCTCTTCGGAATAAAGACCCTCACCTTCTGCCTCAACTCCTGAATACCACGACCCCTATCACGAGCCAACAGAAACTAAAAAAATTATGTATTAAAATATATCAAAACCGATAGTTTAAGTATTAAATATATAGTTTATCCTATATTTTTTGGTAAATTACACATTTAGTACTTAAACTATCAGTTTTTTTAAAACCTTAACTAAAGTTTAGTTTTTATTTCATTTTAGTATCTGTTTAAAATTCAACGTAATTTTTTTTAAAAAATGGAAGTTTAGGTATTAAAAGGACAAAAATTGATAGTTTAAACGCGTTACGTTTTTAACGGTGGGATATTATAATGAAACAAAACCTAAAGATTATGTATGATTTTAAAAAAAATTAAAAGTTTAGGTACTAAAAAAATCAAAATTGATAGTTTAAGTATTAAATACGTAGTTTACACTAATTTTTTTATTCTTCTATTACCGTGGCACTCTTTCAATTGACATATAATAAATTTAGTTCTTGACACTAAAAACTGAACAAACTTGATTTTAAAATGTTCAAAACTTATAATTAGAATAAAAAATTCAAAATCCATAATTTAAAATAAAAAATTATAAAAAGTTTATATAATAAAAGATATATATTAAAATAGACCATCACGGAAGACAAACGTTTCTTAGAAAGATTTGTAATTGACATCTGTTTGTTGGGCTGCTGCTGCCTTGGTGTGGTCACGTGCCACGTTTATATGGTACCTTGGTTCGTTTGAGTCATATGGTTGCTTATGGTTGACATGATTGCAGAATATCCATACCCTCTAAATTTTGTGGGATTATATTGATTTTTGTTATTCGAATTTTTTTGCCAGAGTGATTTTGGTTTTGATGTATTCTTTTTCCTTCGTTTAAAATTAAAAATATTTTTTTAAGATATTTCGATCATTGTCGTTATCTTTGTATGTTATCATGTTTTAATTACATACAAGACGCTCTTTTCGAAAAAAAATTAATATTATTTCAATCGATTACTATTATTTTTGATAAACAATCTATTACTATTTTTATTACATGCAAATAAGTCAATTGTTGAAAACATTGTTAAGCTATGATCAATTTAAAGTTGAAATTATAATTTAAGAATAAAAACATTTGGTGCGATTACCCCAATTACAAATCTTGCAGTCGTCACTATGGCTATCTGTTTTCTTCGTTTGACGAATATAAGGTGTTTTGAAAGTCAAATTACGTACACAATGGTTTGACAAAGGAATTTAATGCTGAAATTATGAAACATATCTTTATTTATTATCTTTTACTCTTAATTCAATCGACCATGACGCATCACGTCACTCTCTTGACAAAATTTAACTACACTAATCAAAATAACCCTTACTCCACATCTCTGTTTTGAAAACCGAATCGAATCGGTCAGTTTAATTGGGAATTGTTATTTAGTTCGGTTTAATCTAAACTGGTTGAACCGCTATTAGTGAACCGGTCAGAATCGTTAAACCGTTCGAACCGGAACCGACTGAAAACCGGAAAAAATGAGAAAAAACCGGGATTTTTGTTTAAAAAAAAAATTAAACCAAACAACGTTGTTTGTTAAACGAGCCAAGTCGAACTCGAGTATTGCTGAGCTCGACTCGAACTTGAAAACTTTAAAAGTAAGCTCAACTCAACTCAAACTCACAAGCTAAAAATTATCAAGTTCAACTCAAACTCGAAATATAATATTGAAACTTGAACTCAAAAAGGCTTGAACTCAAATAAAAATTAGAAGCTCGATTGAAGCCTAAAATTCGAGTTTGATTGAAGTGAAAGAATAGTTCACTTAATGCTCACCAAAAGGCTCTATGATTTTGAATGCCAAATTACCTCTATTAATTATATAAGTTAGTTGTGATGCGATTCTATGTTTCTTAGCAATGTGAGATTGTTTTGTTCTCATATTTTTACTCTTTAGACTTTTGGGATGCTCTTCTATGTTTCTTAGCCATCTGAGATTGTTTTTAAAAAAAATTAAACCAAACAATATCATTTTGTTATGTTTTTTTAACCCCAAATTTATTTTTTAATTATAATTATATAATTATATTTATTATTTAATATGTTTTACCTTAAATATTAGGTTGTAGTTAATTTGAATCATTTTGTTTCACTTGATTTTATGGTTTTTAACTTATATATGTTATGACTTGCTTTGAATATGACTTGTGATATAAAAAATTTTTTTATTCAATATTTTTGATATTTTTATTTAATTTTTTAAATAATTATGACGTCGTCCGGTTCTTCTGACCAATCGAATCGATTCAACCGATTGAATCAGTAAACCAATAACATTACCGATTCGCTAACCAATTCGTTAACCGGTACGATTCTGAAAACCATGCTCCACATCCCATCGCTCTTATCTCAATTATTTAAAATAAACTTCAGTGTTAGATGAAATACAAGACATTGCTTTATATATATATATATATATATATATATATATATATAGGCACACACATACTTAAACTGTTAAAATTATAAAACAATCATTAATATTATTGATTTTAATAATATAATCACTTAAAATGTTAAAAAATATTTTAAATATCATTGATTTTGTGTTATTAATACATGAACACCCATTTTTTAAAATATTTTTAAATTTATGATGTAAAGACTGATGAGTTAATGATCTTAGAAAAAATGAGAGGTTGAGATCAGTGATTCAATTTTTTTTTTCATTCTCTTTTCGTCACGTTCTATTGACAACAATAGAAAGCTACAAGTATCAAAGGTCTCGAGAAAGACCGGAGAAGGACCGCAATTAACTGCACAGCTCTTCTATGTCAGTATTCTAAGGTTGTTGAAGTCTTTGTTGCAGCTTGCAAGAGCATTTGAGGTTAGTTCCAAATCTGGGTTTTGTTTGGTTTTTCAAGAAAATATAGGAAAATGAATAAAAGCAGGGAAAAGAATGAGAGATTTCATGATTTAGATCTCTTCATTTTGTGTTGGTTTGCTTGGATATGTTCAAAAAGTCATGCTTGGTCTTTATGGCTGGTTTTTATTCCTTGTTTTCTTGGATTCTTATGAGCCAGAAAATAATGGTTCAAAGATTGAAAATTTTATTAGTGTTATTAGCAGAACGCAGGGGGAAAAGGAGTAGCTTTTCCCCCCCTCTCGATTGTTTAGTTTTCTGGGCTAATCTATGATGTTTTAGCTTTGAATTCTGAAAAATTAGGCTCTGGTACTTGAAGTTTCAAATTTGTATGGTGGAATGTTTTACAAAGGTTTCCATTTTCCAAAAATATGAAGTTTTTTTTGGGTAGTTGGGTTATGTAGATCAGATCATATAATTTCTTGATGTGCTAAAAAACTATGGAGATTGAGAAATTTTTACTTGTTTTGGGAGTTTGAATTCCATGGAAGATTTTTACATTTCAAATTTCGAGCAATGCTGGCATGTTTCTAAACTTTATAATGGCCAGGCAGGGTTTCCGTCTGTCTTAAGGCATTCAATTTGAACAGCAGGTGGTGATGACTTGTTTCTCATTTTTATTTTCGAGAAAGAAGAAAACTTTCTCAGGTGAACATACCGTAGAGATCGATGAAGGTATGCTGTTAACTCGACTGAATGTTCTCAGGTGATGACTTAATGTTCTTGTAAAAGTTCCTAATGCATGCTTATTGGCACAGAGGTTTCCGGTATTCAGAACACTAAAATGTTTACTTACAAGGAGCTGAAAATGGCAACTGGAAACTTTCATTTTTCCAATAAAATTGGATCGGGAGGTTTCGGTATCGTCTACAAGGTGATTGCAAACTTCTTTTGGTCAGATATTTTGGAAACGATGCTTGACTTCGAAACTAATCCTGTTTTATTGTTTTGTCATTAGATGCTAAGTTGCTAACTTCTTAAGGTTATTTTTGTAATGAACAGGGAACTCTTAGAGATGGTACCACGGCTGCTATAAAGGTGCTATCGGCAGGCTCGAATCAAGGGGTGCGGGAGTTCTTGACGGAAATAAATGTGGTTGCTGATATAGAGCATGAAAACCTGGTTGAGTTGTACGGCTGTTGCGTGGAAGGGAAACATAGGATTTTGGTCTACAGCTATCTTGAGAACAACAGCCTAGCACAAACACTCCTTGGTAATTATTGCCGTGTTCGATCCGTTTTTAATATATGCTTGAACGATAATAACCTAAGGTCTCTTACCTTTTAGGTGGAAGGGATAGCAGTATGCAGTTTAGCTGGAAAGCAAGGCGCAACATTTGCATTGGTGTTGCAAAGGGGCTTGCATTTCTTCACGAGGAAGTTCGACCACATATTGTTCACAGGGACATCAAAGCAAGCAATATTCTACTTGATAAAAATCTCAATCCCAAAATTTCGGATTTCGGTCTGGCAAAGCTTTTCCCAGACAACACGACCCACATAAGTACACGTGTCACTGGAACAATGTGAGTTCTTAAATAGCTGCATATACTTGTCAGTTCTATCTCTCGTTCTTAGTGAACAGAGTAAGTATAGTGTACATGATAGTTTCAAAAATATCAAGTAATTTGAACCAGTTTTAATGAAAGGGTATACATTTTTCTGTGAGGAATGGTTGGTGATGAAGTGCCGGGTATTCCGGCTTTACAAACATTTTTTTTCACTTGATTATGCTTGTCGTCGCATCCTTTTTGGTGAACTGTTAGCCTCTGGTACAAGCTTTGCATAATTTGTTTAACGATCTGTGTATGTTCCTTTCTGTATTTCCAGTTTATTTGTCTATCCTTATGTGGTTTATGTAGAGGCTATCTCGCTCCTGAGTATGCTGTAAGAGGTCAATTGACGAGGAAAGCAGATATTTACAGTTTTGGCGTTTTACTGTTGGAAATTGTTAGCGGTAGATGCAATACAAACAGAAGATTGCCTGTGTCGGAGCAATTTCTTCTTCAAAGAGTATGGATTTCTCTGTTGTCTTACCGTTCCCTACATCACTACCATAATTCAAATCTTTTTGTATTTTTGACATAACTAATAGCCGTATAGTCTCTCAGCACGCGATATACTTATTCAATCCGTTGATCCTACAGCTTTAACCTTAAACAAACATTATAGCATACTCGTGATAATGTTCGGAACCGAAAAATTTCATGCATATGCAATGAGTAAATTGCTGATACTGCTAAAAGCTAAAGTAGATTTTGCCAATGTTTCATATAATGCAAATGTCATATATCTCAGTGTATGTACCTTTTCACAAGAGTTTATACCTTTAGGTTCTTGACCTGCTTATTTGTGTTCTGTACTTATTCCATGTTGTTTGGTCTCAAATGGCGGAGTCGTGTGATTTTCACCCAATCTTCTAGGTCAATCTCCACTTAGCTAAGCCACTGACTCCATGCCTGACCTTCATCTGCAGCCAACACATCAGGTGTTTCCATTCGGGTCATGATGTTCCATGGTGAAATTCTCCAAACTCTGTATACATAAATTGCATGAGTGTTGCCTCAAAGTCTCCAGTCTGTGTGTTCTGTGCTTTGGCATTTTTCCGAGCTTCGTGTGTTTTTATTTGGTTCTTTGGTGTTACGACTTACGGTTTTGAGATTCGTTGGTTAATGGATTTACTACTGCAGGCATGGAACATGTATGAGTGTGGGAAACTACTGGAATTAGTTGATCCATTATTGAACGGAGAATTCGATGATGAAGAAGCACACAAATTCCTAAAGATTAGTTTACTTTGCACCCAAGACTTGTCGAAACTACGACCATCCATGTCTCAAGTGGTGAAGATGCTAATGGGAGAGGAAGTTGTGAATGACCAGAATATATCGAAGCCTGGCCTTCTTTCAGATATCACGACACTCAGAGACCAAAAAAATAAATCTGGCAATACTTCTGAAGGCACAGGCAGAGGAGGCAATTCATCTTCATCATCAGAGAACATTACTGTATCAAATGCTACAATGACATTCAATTCAATATTCGATCGAAGCAATTAGGTTGATCTATTCTTGTTTCGGTACTCGTTAGCTATAGTTCTGAAAAGTTTTCTGCCTCATTTTTTTGAAGTAAAAATCTGGGTTTCGGGGTTTGCTTAGCTAAATTATACCTTGTTCACCTTTCCTGCCTTGTGAGAGAAGCAATGATGTAAATTTTAATCATTTGGGGCTTAATATTTTGATTCTTTTTTAATCACTCGTGGGCTCACTCTTGTTTCATTGTTCTGAACATTTTTAAGGATCAATCTCTTCACTGTTTGAGCTGTTTTTCGAATTGGTTGAACTGAACATGCGACAAGAAAGCCTTTATGTTGCTCGAAAGAGTGGTTTAACGTTGCAAATATGTTCTATAAATCTGTTAGAAAAGATTCAACATAACAGCTAAATTGTTCCATATTTGTGACTCTTTAAGGTTTTTCTGTCTTAAGATCAAATTCTCATGTAAACTACATGCTCCATTCTCAAATGCCAAGCACCTCTTATGGGTATCAGGAATTACCAGTCATAAATACTTGTTTTAGATGAATTCAAAGACGATTTTAGGCAATATTGGTATGAATGTACACTTAAAATTTGTTTTTTTATGGAGACTACAAAAATGGGGAAGATCAGCACATCAGATCATTTTGATAAGATTGAATTGTGCACCATTTCAGTCGTTTAAGTTTGAATATTTCAAGTTGTCTATGAAGTGACTGTACATAGTAAATAATTCATCTAGCATTACATCATCGCCTGTAACCTGCAAGAACACATAACATGCTCAGAAAATAAACTACACTGGCTGTTCTAACTCTAATCGATATTAGATGTTGATTTAATTGTACAACGAAATACAAGTACCTGAAGAAAACATACCTATAGCTTGCTGCAACCAGGTGCAAATCCCTGAAGAAATCTCTCATCTTTCCTTCGATCGTTTCTCTTCTTACTTGAAATCATCACCATATCTACAAGACTACAACTTATTGTTGTCGGCTTCTTCAGGCTGGGGTATTGATGTATTCTTCTTTTGTAGGATCAGTCTTTGAACTTCGGTTCTGAATTCTGAGGCCCCTTTTCTTGATTTTCAGCACTATCTTTCGCTGCCTCATTCAAAGGTTGGCCTCCCTTATATTTTTCAACCTCAGCATCCTCCCTTATATTTATCAACCTCAACATCCTCCCTTATATCTCTCTCATCTGAGGATAAAATCTTTATTTTCTCTCTAGCTTTTCTCTTTATTTTCGCATATTCCTCTATTTTCTTTTAAATTTCGTTTTCAACAATTGCTAAGCATGACCAATTTTTTTTAAGCCGAAGACTAAAGCGAATGTTCAATTCCAAATATGAGAATTGTAAGGCACTTAAATCGCTTCGGGATTTTTCTCTATGTTTTCTGAACTTACTTTACAAATCAAAACAATTTTCAACATTGGTCTGGATATTGTTATGATTAATGTTGGAAGAAGGATTGCCTTATTGAAGCACATTCGACTCCCCGAGAACACACTGAGCAAAATTATTTGCTAAGAGGAAACTGAGATCGGAATCAGTTATTGTTGAAACGACACAATCCGAGTTGACAGTAAAGAAATCCGTTTCGATGATCTGAGGAATTTGAGGCAAATCTGAAGTCTGAGACCGTTTTCAATATAAGTTTTCTTTATCTCAATTTATTTATTTAATTTTCATCTCATTATACTTCTTTAAATAATTTAAAAACCCCTTTTATATTTATTACTATTTTTTTCATTATTTTTTTATTTTTCCTTTTTTATTTATAATTATTTATTTTATTAAGAAGCCGAAATTATTTTGATAACAAAACAAGAGTTATCAACAATCCAAAACAAATGGCTCATCTTCAGTACCACCACTAAAGTTGGCCTCATCAGGCTCATCAAACAAATCGAGACGAAGATTTACAAGCTTTATGAAAAAACTAATATGGTTTAATTCGAGGTATAAAAGGGCAAAGTGAATTCCATTTGAAGCATTGGATATTTGACCCAATAGACTCAAAAAGACGCAGAACAATTTGCCATACCATGTCAACAGCTTCAGTGTCACTTCCATGGTGATCCTGCAGATCACAGAAAACATATAGGTAAGAATAGCGGACTTGAACGTAACAAACGGTTTTGAGGTTAATTACGATGAATATCAGCCATGAAAAATGAAATATCTTAAGTACAAATAAAACTACGAATCAAACTTAACTGAGATCCATACCTAACATAAACTCTAATTGATAGAAAGGTCTGCTGCTCTTTTGATTTGTGTCCATGTTGATTCTGCAATAGATGTTATATATAATGAGTGAGAAAAGAGAATAAAATAGTCTATTAATTTTCACCTTCTATGTTATAGATATAGGACATCCTTCATAGACATGAATGTTAAAGCTATAATCATTAAACTGTTTAATTAATTCAAAATTAAGAGTGAATTAATAATCACGAGCATACTCATTACTTACCATCTTTATCAAACATGTTCAATGCTTTTAGAAACTTTTGTTTGATTTTCTTCAGCTCAACCACAACATCCTTCATATCTTTTCTTTCTTCTGGTAATTCAGTTGAACAACCCAAAGCTAGCTCCATGATAGACGAAATACAATTTGCCTTAACAACAAAGTGCTCGTCCTTTGTTCTTAATAAATCAGCATCCCTAATATCTATCATTCCTTTAGACAATGATCTTTCCACCCAATCCCTCATGGTCATTTCTTCGGTAAAAATTTCATCAGTTGGCTTTTTCTTTGTGAATGTTTCTATTAGGACAATCCCATAGCTATAGACGTCACATTTTATAGAAACAATTCCTGTTGATCCGAATTCTGCATTTCAAACATGATCAAAGCATAATTAATCCTTAATTATTTCTCTCATATCTAATTATATATACAGATACACATGAAACAATATAAAAGAAGAAAAAAAGGAAACCTATCATAAAAAACCCTCAAAATTCACCTGGTGCCATATATCCGATAGTTGCAAAAGTCATGGTTTGTTTCATTACATCGCCTTCTCCCAACAATTTGGAAATGCCAAAATCTCCCACATGTGCAACCATGTCATCATCAAGTAGAATATTACTCGGTTTCAGGTCGCAATGAATTACAGGTGTTGGATGTCCAGTATGGAGATGTTCTAGAGCTGTTGCAACATCTATCATTATGTTCATCCTTTGTAAGATATCAAGAGAACAATCTTCAGAATGTAACCACTTCTCAAGGCTTCCATTAGACATGAAATCAAGCACCAAAGCTTTAAACTCAACATTAGAGCAGCAAGTAATGACCTTTACAAGATTCCGATGAACTATATTGCGCAATGCCTCACATTCAATGTCAAAGCTCCTGAATGCTCCTTCTCTCTGCAAATTGAAGACTTTGATTGCTACTTCCATTCCATCTGAAAGCCTTCCTCTATATACATATCCAAAACTCCCCGAACCAAGCAAATTGCTTTCCTCAAATCCATTGGTTGCTTGTGAAAGTTCAGCACGTGAAATTGTTCTCCATGTTTTCAAAAACAATGAATCATCCTGAATTGGTAGGGATGTACTCCTACCGTGGCATTTTCTATACATAATAGTTAAGACTATTAGTATTATGACAATCCCAATTGTCGGTAAGCCATACCTTAAAGCATGCAATATCATCATCTTGGAACTTTTGTGGATGTTTTTCTTGCAAGGTGGGATGAGCAATCTCGGTGGACCACAAAGTGCATGGTTATTCATGAATGATGCGGTAGAAAAGTTTGGAAAACATCCATGGGTTGGAATTTCTCCTTCAAGACTATTGAAAGAAACATTAAATTTTTTCAGGTATGAAAGCTTTTCCAAAGACTTAGGAATGATTCCCGAGAGATTGTTATTGCTTAAATCCAAGAATTCCAAACTAATCAAATCACCAAATGATTCAGGGATATGACCATGCAATTTATTATTAGATAAATCTAATGAAACCAAAGTTTGAAGACCTCCAATTGTAGATGAGATATCACCTATGAGCAGATTGTTTGATAAATTCAATTGCACCAGACTCCTCAAAACTCCAACATCAAGAGCATGTGAGTTGTTAAGGTAATTTGATGACAAATCTATTAGTAAGATATCTTTAAGATTCCACAAAGTTGATGGTATTGCAGAACTCAATTTGTTGGAACTTAAGTCAAGATATCTCAAAGAAGTCAAATTACCCAAACACTTGTGTACAGGTCCATGCAGATCATTCAACGATAAAGACAAGGTGTATAATCTCTCCAAACCACATATACTTTCTGAGATGGACCCTTCTAATTTGTTAGTGTAAAAATCTAAATACTGGAGATTTCTCAGTCGTCCAATTGAAGTCGGAATAGATCCACTCAACTGATTGCTTCCAAGCTGTAAAAGCAACAAGCTGCTTAAGTTACCTATTTCCATAGGAACATTACCTTTAAGCTTACAATTGTAAGCATAAAAGTATTGAAGGGATGTCGAAAGGTTCCCGATATAAGCAGGGAGTACACCATGCAATGGATTTTCCGTAATTAATAGTTTTGTCAAATTCCTGCAATTCGACAAAGAAGAAAGAAAGGTCCACTCGTGAGTTGCAGATTCTGTGGTCAAATTATTGAATCCGATATTTAACCATTCAAGGTGCCTTAAGTTGCCAAGCGTATTTGGAATTAGGCCAAAGAAGAAGTTCTTCTGTAACTCTAGACGCTTGAGCATGGAAGCATTAGAGATAGAAGCGGGAATGTTTCCGCTAAGTTTATTTCCCCACAAAACAAGCTTCTCAAGCTTTGGAACGTTGGTCATGAGCGGCAAGTTTCCTGCTAAAAATGCATCTTTTAGTATATCACAAAAAGTATGTTATCGAATGTGATAACCAAAGTAAGAAATAAATTAACGTGAATGTATCGGACTTGGAAAAAAACTAAAAAGCAAACAACATACCTTCTAAATTGTTGTCATATAAATATATTCCCTGGAGGATAGTTGAGTTCCAAATACTTCTTGGAATGATCCCCCTGAATTTATTTGCAAATAGTGATAAAATCTGAAGACTAGAGCATTCGCTTATACTTGATGGTATATTACCAGATAATTCCATCTTACTCAAGTAAAGTTCTTCAAGCTTGGGAAGTCGGTGACACAAATCATCAGGCAAACTACCTGATAGACTATTGTTGGAGAGAGCAATAGTCTTTAGAGAAGAAATATTGAAAATAGAAGTCCGAATCTGACCAAACAGTTGATTGATTGCCAAACTCAAGATCTCTAGATTGGACATGTTGACTAGTGTTTGAGGGATTTCTCCATTAAGGCGGTTGAATCTTAATCGAAGGACCCTCAAACGATGAAGGTGTCCCAATTCATTAGGCAGATGGCCATAGAAATGGTTGTTGCTCAAGTCAAGAGAATGTAGAAATGAAAGATTCCCAAGGTGTGGAGGGATGGTACCCGTGAGATCCATGCTTGTAAGATTCAAAGCTACAACTCTTTCATGTATGACACCACAAGAAACACCAACCCACTTGCAGACTGGAGTAGAGGTCGTCCAGTTGTTGGCCAATACATTTTGAGGATCCACAATTCCATCTTTAAATTGGACAAGTGCAAACTGATCAGTGCTGAGATTCCTGACAGCAGTAGCTGATGAGCAAACTATGAAACATTGTATCCACAAAACAGAAAGCAGATGGAAGCAAGGATTGTACTTCATGATTATAAGCCAAGAAAAGAGAAAAGTAGGATGATGGAGAAAATCGCAGAGATGCTTAAATAGGAATTTTATTACTACATTTCTTGGGACATGAATGTTAGTTGGGTGAACGAAACTCGACTAAAAAAATCGATTTTTTCAATTTCGAGTTATTCGAGTTGAATTATTTGAGTCACCTCAAATTATCAATTTAGTTTTCGAGTTCGAGTCAAGTCAAAATTTTGAAATTTTGAATTACTCGACAAACCAAAAATTTGACTAAATATTTTGACAGTTTTTCAATTTAGTCTTTTATTTCATTATTCCTTCATTTTAAGTACATTTTTACTAAATTTGAACCGCATGCTTCTAAATCATCGTAGAATACATATGTACTTTCAATTCCTCTTTATCAAAACAAATTTTTTATTTTTCAATTTAGTTCCACATTTTTTCATAATTTTCTTATTTTTTCAATTCATCTTTTTATTTTAAACCCATTTTCCCCAAAGTTGAACCACCTGCTCACATACCACAATAGGGTACCTATGTAACTCCAATTCTTACCTTTTTACTAAAAATGTACTTCTTTTTTATTTAGTCCCTTAAATTTACATTTTATTCAATTTGGTCTTTTGACTACAATTGTTAGCAAATTCTTTGTTCCAATCAATTCCTTGACTCCTTTGTACTCCTATCAATATTTTACCCTCAAAATATTTTCTTTAAAATATAATATTAGGAACATATTTTATAATATTAGATTATCTTTAATATATTAAATAATATTATAATGTAATATATATATATATATATCTTATATGGTTAGAGGAAGTCAAAAAATTAGAACAAATCCTTCTCATAAAACTTAAATAATTATAATAATACTAGTATAAAAACTAACTCAACTCAACTCAAAAAAAAATTTAAGTTAAGTTCGAGTTGTAAAATATGACTCGTCAACTTAAATTACTCAAAATATTTTGAACAGACTCGACTTGATCGAATACTCGCTCCTACATTTTGATATCAAGAGATTAAAAAAAACGATAAACTTGAGATCAAATACTTGTATTGTCACAACCCAATTTAAAGAAATTAGAATAAAAATAAATAAAAATTTAGAAGCAATTTAATGAACTTTGGGGACTAAATTGCAAGTTTTCATAACTTGTATGTCGTTTTAGAAAGTTCCAGGAAATTCATGGACTTGAACCAGAATTAACCCATTCTATGTTATCAGAGAAAAAAAATAAAAGAAATGGTTAGGTGTTGCGGGGTGTCAAACCCCTACCACCCATGAGGTCGGCCATGCCCTAGCCATTTAGGATAAGGTATTGTTGTTGATATATTTATTAAATATATCATATAGGGGTTTAAAACCCGATTAACCCTAAAAATACCAAAATCCAAAACCCCCAAAGCCCTAAATTCCTCCATGTCAACCCTCTCTATCGCCTCAATCCGTCATCGTCCGGCCACCCAGCTCGAGCCACCACCCCCGTTCGGCTTGTCATCGACCGGGTGAGCAAAACCCTTCTTTCAAAATCGATGTCGTTCGCCGTAAAACCTGTCGTAAAGTTTTGACAAAACCCCAAAACTCGTGAGATTTTCTCTCAATTTTTGGACGATCAAGGCATCGGTTTGCCTTACCGCCGGTGAGGTTGTGTTCGCCGTCCTCGGACGCTCGTGTCCGAACCCGTGGGTCAATGCTTTACCATCGTTTCATTGTCATCAGAGTGGGTAAGCTAGGTTTTAATATTTTGGGTGATTTCGGCAAGTTTTGTTGTGAAATTGGTTGAATCATGCATAAATTGGAGTGTGTAGAAGACATGGGAGTAATCGTTCGATGGAAACAAACCCCGTCGCCGTCGCACACGCCGCCACTCACTGGCAGTGCACATGGGGCTCTCTGGCCGGTCCAGAAAGCTTCTGGAATTGGTTGAGTCAGACCGAACCGGTCTGAACTGAGTTAACTTGTCTAAGTCAACCTGGACCGAGTCAACTTGTCCGAGTCAACCCGTTGACTTTGACCGTTGACTTTGACCAAAAAATTTAAAAAATTTAAAAAGTCTTATTTAATGTTTTTCGACATCCTGAGTCCGAATCGAAGTTCGTTTTGCCAAATTTGAATCCGAAAGCCTCCAAATTGACCATTAAACCCGAACATGCATATGTACTTAAGCATTTTATTTAAGGATAGTTAAATTAAGGTTAGAGACTGATTGGATATTATTATTTGAAGGTACAAACGACTTTCCCGATCTCTCGATAACTCAACCCAGCTCATCTCGATCAGCTAAACTTCGTGAGCCAGTAGTTACTCGTATGACCCGTGAACTCTATGAATATCTAGATTAGAATATTACTTTGAAATTAACTCGGTTTACTATGAATTAGGTTCAAGCATTGTTGCAGAGCGTGGCGAGGCCGGTGCTTAGTGGATTTGCTGCCTGATTTTCATTTTTACGAGGTGTGTTCCCTATGTGCTACATCATTGTTTTATTTGTTTTGGAACGTGGTTCACTGAAATTTATGATTTATTGTTTTACTGATTTACTGGTTGATGGCTTATGGACTATGTTTAAATGATATATGTTATCTGGTTATTGGTTTTCACTGGAAATATGATTTCGTTGATTATGGATTTATGGAATTTACTACTTACTGTGCAAACTGTATATTTGAGATACGATTTGGGTAGGATACTAGGGTATGGAGGTTCAGCTCTGATCAAGCTAATAATTCCTTACGGACCTACGTTGACCCTTGGGTAGGCTCCGTGGCCTCGAGAACTTTCTTGGGTATGCTCTCAGGCCCCAAGATGCTTCCTTAGGTTGGCTCTTTATATCTACTGGGTATAAGGTAAGCCTTATGGATGCAGTTCTGGGGAACTGCATATGGTGTACGGGAGGAGGGTAAACTACAAGTTTTAAAAACTTAACTTCATCAAGATTTCCATGATATTTTACCGAATTATTACTTGATTATTTTACATACCATGTTTTAATTGCAATATTAGGACACACTAAGCCCTTAGCTCACATTTCAAACTGTTTTCCACTTTCAGATACTCTTGGATAGGAACCCCGTACCAGACACTTGGAGGATCAATACATTTAGTACAAATCATTTTGTTGTAATGTTTTATCTCCCACTCTGCCTTCAATTACAATGACATGTGCCATTATTATAAATACTTGTTTATGTGATTTATTTTGGTTTGCTACTGCTTATGACATGCTTTATTTTACTCTGTTACTGAAGATTTTATCTTTTTCCAATGGATTTATTATTAATCATTATATTTTCATGATGTTATGTTAAAATATGGAATTAAATTATCAAATAACATTTTAGAAATTGTTTTAAGAATTTTTAATATAATTCGTTAGACTTAACCGAAACGCATAGGCTGCGTCTAGGGGTTATATGTATTTCAGTTTTGAAAATTTGACAAACAATTAAAATGCAAATTAATTATCAGTTTTGAAAAATTGACAAACAATTAAAATGCAAGTTAATTAGCATTTATTAAATCAATTATTGAAGACGTGGACACTTAAGTGCCAAGTCACGAAATCATTTATTAAATCAATTATTAAATCATTGAATCACTCGTCCTACCCTATAGGCTTAGATTTTTCTCACCAAATTCCCATCAACTTGACAAAATTTTTCAATTATAATTTTTGTTATCTTTTTATCAACGTCGACATCAACTATTTTGTCATTTTGTATAAAAATTAAAAATTATTTGAAGATGATCAAATATTAATTTTTTAAAAAAAATATAAAAATATATATTTAAATTGTAAAAAATATAAAAATTATCAAATATATATAATGGGCAAAAAGACGATAATTGAAGTCAGCTTAATATTCATTAAGCCCACCAATATATATATTCTTGTTTTTGTTTAAAAAAAATACACAAACATCATAAAAGGTCGGAAGCATTTCATTTAGCTACCAACTTACATTTCCTTAACAAGTCTCCTATCATGAGACCAATCAATTTAATTATATCAAAATCCGAAGGGTCTTTGGGGTTATTGACTTTTCTACCACTGATTTGGAAATGCATGCGAATTAAAAGTTTATCAAGATTATTTTCAGCATTTTTTT